TGCATTATTATTGGTTTTATTTTTCCTCTTTTTCTATCCTTTGCCCCCCCGCATTCCAGCAGTCTTCTATCATTTCCTCCAAGATTGCTGGTTGTCCAAAACGAATGCATCGTTTGATTTAGCCTCGTGCCCCCGCATCCCGACACCAAACAGGCCAGTTGAGCAACTGGGCCGAAGATGCGAGGTGGTAGCCCGCCTACACCCGAAGGTCAATTCAGGGTCTGGTGTAAGCAGTCCCGCCAAGTGCGCCCTGCCGCGGTAGCAATTGGGAGGAGACTGGGGCCTGGGGCCTGGGGACCACGGGGAGCCACTGGGGCGACCAACCAGAATGCCAAGGCCAATGTCACCATCGCAGCCATAGTCGAGCGTGGTCGAGCATGGTCAGGCATGTCGAGACTTTCGCGACTGTCGTTGCATCGACCCCACTCCTCTGCATTCCTTCCTAGCCCTCCCCTTGCAATTGATTTGATTGAGAATTGATTGGCAGCATCCGGTGCGGTGCTTGCAGCTGGCGTTGCAGCTCGATCCAAAGGGAAGCTGAGGAGAGACTGGCTGACTGGGACTTGGTGGGTGGTCCGACAGGGGCCTGGGGGCTTGCAAGTGCGAGCCGTGCAGGCCTGCAGATCGGATCGGTATAGCGGCCGATGGTGCAATTTCTCGTGATCTGACGTGCGATCTGAGTTGGGATGTGGTAACGAACATCCCCAATTAAGTCCATCAGTCTATCAGTCCATCAGAGTCACTGGACAATGGTACCAACAAACCCTCAACTTCCGCTTGAGGAAGAGTTGCTATTGCTGTCGCGCAACTTGTCGAGCGACGTCGAAAACAATCCCGTCTTGTTTCTGAATTCTTAATGCTCGTCGCGTCGTTTTATCATTGACCCTATCTTGCGATTGCTTTCTAACACACCATCGTCATGGCTCCAGGCGATTACGGATTTGGCTTCGACCCATATACTCCCAGTAGCGTCCAGCCATTCTCGGACAACATCGGGAGCTTGCCCCCTATTCAGCCCTCTCCCGCCTTCGCTCGGAATGGCGCTCAACAGAGGCCTTACGGGGCCTCGACTCCCCAGACCGGCGATAAGCGGAAAGCCACGGAAGTTCCTCCCCCTCGGGCCATGAGCTTCGAGGAGCAATCACGGTTAGCCGCCGAAGAGGACAAGCGGAGGAGAAACACAGCCGCTAGCGCTCGGTTCCGAGTCAAGAAGAAGGCCCGCGAGCAGGCTTTAGAGAAAAGCCAAAAGGAGCTCGGCGACAAAGTCCACACATTAGAGACGCGGATCCAGACACTCGAGACCGAGAACAAGTGGCTGCGGGAGCTGGTCATGGAGAAGAACGGCGGCAACGAGAAAGTCGTCACCGCCCTATTACAAGCCAAGGACAAGAGCGAGGGAAAGGGGTCAAAATCAAAGGACGAGATTACGGCTAAGACGAGCTGATCTGCATAATCAAAGAGGGGCGGGAGTTTTTCAAGAGAAATATGTCCTATGTCCACGCATCATCACCAACATCATCACCATCATACATACATATATCGGGGTGGCGTTTTTATTTGTGCTAGGAATTGATTTTGAGAGGGCTTGGGTCCGGTGGGAGGGAGGTCTCATACCGGGTATACCATGCATGTCGTATTTTAACGCAGCGATTTATTTGTTTTAACGGCTATCTATCACTAAAGAGTGTCAAATACACAATTCGGGTCGAATACCTGACCCGCCAGACAACGAATATATTCTGCTCGTAAGAATGGCCAGCCGACTATGGTGAACCTCACTCCCCCGAATTCCGCCCCCCTGGTCAGCTCTTCCAAACAGGAAGCAAAGCACGAACTAAACACCCGGAATCGATTCCGCTAGGCTTACACAGGTTGCCTGAACTTTGCCATGCAACAAACAAGCATCAAGGGCGCAGGCTAGGAATGGTAGGTCCGTCCTAGTGAATCTGATACACTCCACCTATGGAGAAGATAGATCCAGCGACTTTGTCTCCGTCTGGATCAAAATAGTACCTATTTGCCTACAGAAATCTCCTCGTTCAGCCGCTTCCTCACGACCGAAGAAGGGAAAAACACCACAATCGCTGCGGTGGAACGGATGGAACACCTTAAAATCACCATGGGTCCTTGTGGATACTACTACAATTGGGACCCGGCCGTATTATTATTTTCCAAGAGGAAAGAGGAATTACGAGATGGGTATGGATATGGATACACTTATTAGAAAGTCTAGGCACGCATACATGTGCTCGTATATGGGGGTATCATGATTGGTGCCTGAGACACTTCCTCCGCGCAATACATAATGCCCATTCATAATTACATATAAGAAAAAAAACAAGGGGATTGTTAAGAGAAAATTCCTCCAGCTCAGAGCTCCTGTCCGGCTTGTCTGCCTGTCTGGTTTGGCCCCTACCGTTCCACTGCATAGCTGCCTACAATACCACGTGCTTCCGGTGCCTATCCTGACAGATTAGCGGAATTGCCTTTCATGCACTACGCGTACTGGATGGATCTCACGAGCATTCTTTCCATATGATATGTATGCATCTTTCTCTTCTCCTGTGTAGCACACAGGTAGGTATCTACCATACATACATATTATGTACGGTACCTGGTTTACCTACATACCTTAAGAAGGAACTCTCGCCTCCTAGAGCCTTAGCCGACGCAAAGCGTCGAGTGCGTGCTTCGCGCCGTTATGGCGTTATCCCGAGGGACCCTGCTCGTCGAAAAAAATGGTGCCTAGCGTCTGTCTCTAGGCGGTAGGTAGGTAAGGTAAGGTAAGGCGCGGGATTCAAGGTGAGGTGCCATGTGTTTTTTTTTTTTTTTTTTTTTTTTTTTTTCTGTGAGGAGAGATGAGACAAGTTAGGTACATAGTAGGTAGGCAGGTGCTGCTGTAAGACCTTGGTATGCTGTAGGAGGGCAAATAGTATATAATTCTTTCCCTTATTGAGATTTCCTCTGCTATGTACGGATCACCCCACCCGTACATACATAGTATGCGGCTATCTTTCCCGGGACCCCTGACAAGGTTCGTATATTTGTCCGCATGTAATAGGTTGGTCGGTACGTAGAAAGCGTCAGTAGAGATAGGAGGGCGAATCGAGGGCCTGATATTACTCATCCCAGTCGCTCCTTTAACATGGTATATACCAAGGTAGGTAGATAGGTAGGCAGGTAAATATGCGTATGTAAGTTGGAGATGGCCCTGATATTTCTCTTCTCTTTGCCATTCTGCTATCGACATATTTAGTAACTACTCGGAATAAAGGGTGATCGAAGCCTCCTAACCTCGCCATCATTTCGATTCCTCAGTCGCTAACTCGATAACTAGCTAGGTTCTCTAGACATCTCCTCGGACAGCCCATCTATCATTCTCGGTCCTACGCCCTCCTCCTGTTACCGACCTCTACCTCGCCACCCACCGGTGTCCTCCTACTACGTAGTAATAGTTCATACCCTCCCTGCCCCCCCTCCCAGCCCTAATAATCAGGAAAAAAAAGTTCTCGCCCCCCCTGTTGCTCCTAGCTAGGCCGTATTGTACCGCTCGCGCGCGTGCCGTTATTCCTGATCGAGAATCTGGATCTTGATCTTGCCGCTGCCGCCTAGGCTGGGAACCTGGGAAACCTCTCCCCCCCTATCTAGACCTAGGCAGCCCCTCGCCCCCTGTCCAGAAGATTTTGCCCCTACCGCCTAACTACCTGCCTAGGCAGCTGGCCCTAGGTAATTCAAGACCCTTGGCTCCCCTGGCTCCCCTGGCTCCCCTTCCCCTTCCCCTCCCACCCTTCTCATCCAAACAGTAAACAGCACCAGCACCTGACTACTGCCGACCACGCCCTCCATCATATCCATCCTACCTACCTACCTACCTACGTATGTACGTTATGTAGGTAAGTTAGGTAGGTAGCGATTTCGTCTCCGTCACCCTCGCCCTGCCGCCTCGCCGTCTCCGTCCCCGGCCCCCGCCCCCCTCAGCTTCGCGAGCCTCGCCTGGTTCCGCTTCCCGATGATCCGCAGCGTGTTCTCGCGCTCGATGTCCGCCATGCGGTCCCAGTTGGCGATCCGGCTCATGGAGCCGTCCACGTTGACCACGAGCGGGCCCAGGTGGTCCAGCTTCACGCCCGCGCCGTCTACCGCGAGCTGGTGCGCCGGGTTCGCGGGGGTGGGTTCGGGGAGCGGTAAGGGGGTGGTGGATGATGATGGTTGCGCTTCGTCAGAAGCTTGGGTTTGGGATTGGGTGGGATTTGGCTCTCCTCCTCCTCCTGATACTGGGGCTGATGATGGTGGTGATGATGATGATGACATGGCGGTAGCAGGAGCGGTCTCCTTCTGTTGCTGTCTTGTCGTGGCAGATGATAAGGGACTGTGGTGGTGGTGGAATGGACGTGTACTAGCTCCTGCTGACGAGAATGGTGGTGTTATAGCTCGAAGACTTCTGTGCTGACGCGGACGCAGATACCGGCCGAAGAAGAGCGTTTGTAAATGTGATACTCTCATGCTCGTCGAGTCTGCATAAGCCAAAGCAATCGTCGCTTTAGTTGGAGGTTGAGGAGACTTCCTTGGGCTCCTTTCTTTTCGTAGATAATTCCAGTAATAATTATAGTTCGGTAGTCTAGCTGGTAGATCAATATGCAGCCGGTAATTTCTACTGCGAAATAAGAAGCCAATTGGCCGATAGGTCTGTCTGGATGGAATCTAATGTATGTGGTTCGTAGTTCCACGGCATTCTTTCTGTGTGAACCCGATAGTCATCGAATGCTGTGGCTGGCGCCTGTCTCTCTACCCTCGTGCAGGACGGACGAACTGGAAGCTACCAGTATATATGCCAAGACTTCTAGAAAATTCCCCGCAGCGAGCCGGCTATTCAAAATAATTCACCCTTTCCAGGTAATATGTACGGCAAGGGACAAAAAGATTACATACAATCCAAGACCGTAAGGATGAGTTCAAGTGGAAGATAGAAAAGGCAAAAAGAGAAGACGAATGTGCAACTTTTGTACTAGCACCGCGGATCGAACGCGGAACCTTCTCGGAGCGAGTCAACACTGATGAGGTGTTAACGAGAAATCATAACCATTAGACCATGCCAGCTGTTGAAAAAAGCGCTGCTATCTCAGGAGAAGAGACTTGGTGCCAGTGGCTGCTCCCCGCTGTGGGACCATTTGATCACTACCTTATCGTGACGTGTGGGTCCAGATGACACATACCGTCTTATCCCTTTAAATTCGTCCCTTGGCAAAAGTCGATCGGCATTGCTCTAGCCGACTTTGCTTAGTTTCCGCTAGAGGTTCAGATCATGTGATATCAAACGATTAGTTATGCGTTAATTTTTTGCTGGCAACTAATACCCCTGATAAGAAACGCGTTATTTTTATCGTATTACGTTAACTTCCTTTAGCAATTTCCCGTACGAATTCGACCCTGTGGTAAAAATAAGGTGGTACGCTAGTACGTCGATCATTTTAGACCAGAGGACGAATTTAAAGGGATAAGACGGTATGCACAGTTATGGCACTGTATCAAACGGGTGGCCCGTTCATAATACCCAGCCGCCCCTAGTTAACTGAACCCCAGCTTCCACGTGCTCTCGCGCCCGTCGGGTGCAGGTGGCTTTATTGTCGCGGACCGAAACCCGGGCAGCTATCACAACTACCGTATACGAAGTACTAGCAACGGGATGCCGAAATCGAAATTGTTTGGGCCTACATATCATCAATTACTGAGGATGCATGTAGCTTGTTTGTTTTGCTGCTTGATTCTGTAAAGAAGATACCGTATTTTGCGACGTCTTGCTCTTTTCCGATAAGTTGGATGTATATCAACCCTGGTATCTCTATCTCTGCTTACGGCTCCAGCGTTTCGTGGAATAAATTCGCGACCTTTTATTCATACATCAACTCCCAGCATTTCTTTTTCCTTTGCCCCTTTTCTTCTTTTCCTTTTCCCTTTTCTTCATCTTTTGGCTTAGACTTGTTACAGTTAATAATGAATGATATAAATACACTGTATCATCTGACACCTCCTTATTGCTTCACCTCCCTTAATTCGGGAGCAAGTAGTGATGTTAACTGAGTAAGGAGTGTTTTAACCGTTTTAACCTCTCCCTTGTTTACCTAGCAAATATTCTGAATAGGCGTCATCATCCACCACAAAACACTCTAGATCGTCATTAATATTCTGCTTGACGCTAACCCGGGCCCTACATGTGCTTCTCTCGCACGCCAGCTCTAAGCACTGGGTAGCTTGATGGCCCGCTGCACCCGGTGCTCCCGGGCGCACATTCCTTCACCTCACCGACGCGCCAGCTGAAGCCGACGTCGTCATCGACAGGCCTGGGATCATAAGGGAGGGGTTGGTTGCGATTCCCCGGTATCATGGTAAGTAAGTACAGGCCATAGCTCGTAATGGATGACCGAGTAGGGATCCGAAGCAGCCCTATATATGTATATATATACACTGCCATAGGTTCCAAGCCAAACAACTTGGAAGGTCTGTACCCTCCTTTCAGAGAAACGCGGTGGCTTGGTTTAATGGTCATTTGGTTAGCGCTGTGGTCAACCGTGACACCCAACCTGAGTTTGTCGTTCGCGTCCACAGCCGATGTAGAGATGGAGACGGGGCGGACAGCAACAACAGCAGCAACAACAGCAACAAGTAAATAAGGTGGCTGTCGTATCTCGAGACCCGCCCCCTATATGCTTCGGCGCCCACTGGTCGTAAGGACGGCTGCGTAAGGCGTCGTAGTATGAGAGTCTCGAGAAAGTACAGCGAGCATGGTTCACCCCTTGAGCGGGTATCCGCACGGCTATTCCAAGCATATGGGCATCTTTCTATGACACTGTATACTATTCCCATAGAAAAGCTATTGCAATTCTGCCCGAGTGATCGCCTTTTCCTATCACTCCATATCTCACACTGGAGTCGCTTCCGTCTGGAATGGCTGTACTTTACTGCAAAGACAGCTAGAAAAGGGCCGCGAATTCCTGATGCCTGACAGTTTCGAATTCCCTCGAGATCTTACAATTTGCTTTGTTAGTGGGGTAGTATATATATACATGCAGCATGGTTCGAGCTGCTATATCTGTGAACGTATTGCATATATGAGTATATAGCTCAAGCCCCCTCTGATCCTAACGCGGCTGTGAAAAATCGAGGGCTAGACCGGGGCCGCGGATTGTCGCGATGCCGCCAGAACTAGTCGACGGACTACTTCGACGAAGAGGATCGCGACGCTCGTTGAGGAGCTATGCCACTGGGCCTCGGGCGTGGACATACGGATATAGGATGCTGCAAGAGGCCTCAAGAGGTGAGTATGATATCCATCTATTCTCTCACCTTTGTATGTACCTTGAAGTTAGCCTGCCGGGGGTTATGGGCAATGTTATAGTCCAATTTGGATGCTAGTTCGATATAATTGCCCATGACTCTACTCAACGACGCCATTATCTGTTACCGGGCCGGATGCGCTCTGGCCGTTCCAATGGGTCCCATGTGTTCGCCTAAAGGAAGCTGCTCACGAGATACGGAAGCCAGAAGCAGAAGCAGAAGCAGAAGTAGGGGCAGGAACGATTCTCCATGGATAAAAGATATGGCGGCGCTACGTAGCCCTATCCATCATCACCGCCCCGCGCAACGGAGCGAATAGGATGTTAAGCCTACCGACGAGGTAACCAACTCGGCCACTGAGTACGAGTAGGGGCACGATTACTAGTGCAGTCACTGTCGTGCACGCCACCAACGCCTTCACCACGTAGTTGGTCCCGGGCTTTGTGGGACAAGCAGACGGATGGGGGTCCTCAGCACGATGACAGCGTAGCGCCCGGCGACTTCGTTCCCATCCGACCCCTGCCGGGGCGCGCCCCTATTACTCCGGCCCGTCGTCTACGGCCGAGCCGGGGCCGGCCAAGGGTGACGTTCGACCAGGCTACGTAGCGGCCGCCATCCACACCTACGTCTGTATCTACGCCTACGCCCATTACATCGTCTATTATCGAAAGAGGCGGGGGTGGAGTAGGAAGCCAAAGGTGGTGGCGAACAGGCGAATCTGGTGGTTGATCGGCGGGGGAATGGGTTCATCTTCCTAGCTGGCTGTCTTCGAGCCGATTTAGAGGAGGGAGAGAGAGCGGAGGCATGAATTCGACTCTGACACCTATTATTCTTATGATCCTGACTCAAGTCATGCAGCCAAGATCCGATAAACACCATACATATGTCACGCTTAGGCCACTAAGGTCCGCATGGTTTTTTTTATCAGATTCTGGCTGTCTTGACAGGTCTAATCCGACGTCATCGACTTCACCGGTGATCAGCTCCCCTTCGTCGGGCGGCCGGATCCCCAGCTTGACGGGGACGGGACGTGGCAATGACAATGAGAACGGCGTTCCAGAAAAAGAAAGAAAAAGAAAAAGAAAAAGATGGAGGAAGAGTCCCGCGAGTGGATATCCGTGGGCCACTCGGGTGGCGACATGATACGGTTTGTATGGTGGGGCCTGTCTATGCGGCACGGCGCTGATCAACGTGGTCGTGGGCGGGCCGAGAAGAGGAGGCGCCTCGGAGACCCGGAGGACAAATGGCTGGCGGACTGACTGGTTCCCACCCGATCTACTGCCGTCGCTGTCGCGTGATTCAAGGAAGGCGGGCTTGGAAACCATTGTAGAAGCGATTACTCGAGATAAAGCATAATTGTGACGAAGGATAATTAGGTAGAGGGGAGAGGAAGGGAAACCCCTTTTCTCTTACTCACTCCTCGCGTTCGTGGCTCGTGGTTCGTGCTCGCGGAGAGCACATGTGTAGTTATGTGTAGTTACATAGACAGATAGATAAGCTAGTTCACCACGCGAAGATGTAGCTTGTGATTAGTGGGTTGGAGTAATCGGACATATATTATGTATGTATGACTATATAATGATTCAAATAGGGACATAGGTATACTTATAGGTATAGCTGCGTAACGTAGAGATCGATCTCGACCCCTATCAACCCTGCAACAGGTACATGGCCCACATATGTACTTATAAACACGCATCCAATATGGTCCCATCGTTACCTATAGATGGAATATAATATACCTTCGAAGCTTCTTGACTCGCTGCAGACGCGATGATACGGTAACGCGAGGTTTTTCTACGTACTATGTATACATCCAAAATTGTCATGACCACACCACACCACTCTCTGTAGCTCTTGCAGCAAATTGAGGTTACATACATCTCTCAGCCCTATGCACACTCAGTGCTACCTGGTAGTCTGGTAGGTTTATACCAGATCGCAACTGTTCGCAGAGACGGAGAGTTGGTATCATTTTGAACATTACCTGTAGCATGCTGTAGGGAGTAACCTGACAATGATACGCGCCTGCTAGGTAGCTAGTAGAGACTCAATTAGTAGGTACTAATTAGGAGGTATGCAGTCCGCTAGTCAATCGATAACCTCCGAGCAACAATGCTATAGGACCCGCTGACCTGTCGCGTCCCGACTCTGCTTGGATCGGCTTAGCAGCTGGTAGTACATACTTACCTAAGTATCAGCTGCTAATTAAGAGACTACAGGTACTAGTTAGGTAATGTGGGTCCTCGAACAGCTCCGGATGCCGTCACAAATCTTAAATTCCGTCGTCAGATTTTCGTCTAGAACCTCGCCATCATTCGCCGCCAGCGAACCATTTCACCACAACCACATCATAACTCGTTACCGCAGACCGTTGCATTGGAGAAGATCGACGGGCCAGTCTTCCTCGCGTTGAGAAAGGGAGCAGGAGGTCCCAAGCTGATGAACACTCTCCCCATCGTTTTTCCCCAGTTCCAGGCATTCTTGTCTTCTGCCAGAAGAAGTATTTGTCTGAGAGCCCTTTTCGCATAGACAACCGGGTAACTAGGGGAGAGCGAAGGAATGTTCGGGTAGCAACTAGTGGAGCCCCCTTTTACCTTCAGACTGCTTTCTCGCCTTTTGGCTTGATGCCGAATGACCCCGAGTCATCTCCTCGATCCGATCTCCCAATCAACAATACAAAAGGTAATAGTGGGCAGCCGAGAAAACTTTCTCGTTTCGAAGCCCTGGTCCATTCGGCAACCACGAGATTCCCATGCCCCCAT